TTCTTATTTTGTCCCTTTTATTTTTCCAGATGAATCTAAAGAGCCTACCTTTAACGTTACTTATAATATCCTTTGGAACATTGATTTTTGAAGCTGAATATATGAGATGATACTCCAAGCACCTTGATTATCATCACTTTCCCAAATAATGTGAGATCTCTTGACTTCCATATATCCAAGTTTGTTTGCATTTTATTTATTTTAAGGTTGAAATTCATTTTATTATTTCCTGTCTCATCATAGGAGAAATAAATACCAAGAATTCTGGTTAGACTACTGACCCATTTTAAATGTAACGGTTTGTTTTTATTGCCTGACCACCCAGTTTCCTAAGCTGTCACCAAAGTTTTAAAGTTTTAGAACATGATGTACGCATGACCATTCTAAAGTGTCGAAAGCTTTCTGAAAGTCTAAGGATAGCAATATACCAGAGCAGTTTAGTTTCCTCGTCTGCTCCATAACATCAGCATTAAGCCTAATGTTTTCACCAACATATCTGCCTTTCACAAAACCTGTCTGATCCAGATGGATCAATGATGGTAATATTGGTTCAATCCGTTTAGCTATTGCTTTGGATGCAATTTTACAGTCAACATTTAAGAGAGTTATTGGTCTCCAATTCTTCAGTTGTAATAGCGATGGTTCTTCTTTTGGTATTAGGGTTATTATACCTCTATGCTGTGAGATTGATAACTGTCCATTTTCATACATAGCATTAAGACTCTGCCAAGTCATTTCCAATTAGGTCAAAAAACTTTAAGTAAAACTCAACAGTATAGTAACAATAGAATGTTTAAACATGAGCAAAACATTTTTTCTATAGCAACATAGTGAAACTAGAACAATACATTTTTCAAATGGACTAGAAGAAAAACCCAAGTTGTGTTTCTTAAAGCCAACACGCATTAGATTGGCTTCTTAGAAAATACATGTACCATGGTACCTAGAAATGCTATAGTGCAGTACTTAAACTGCGCCACTTGGAACAAAGTTAACAAAAACGAAATGTCAATTGAGAACAAAGAAATGTCACCTTTTTTGTAAACGAGCCGATAACATTCAAGAATACAAACAAGAGTTCTACATTCAAAAACTTTGAAAGCCAACAGAGGCTCATGCTTCAGACCTCTCAGGAAACTTTTTTATGACAAATTACCTTTGATCTTCAATTTTGAGCGGTTTTCAACAATTTCAATTTGGCTGTCCCAAAATGTGTTGACAAGCTAAATATTTCGAATTCCTGGAGGCCAATTTGCATATTTTTCTACCATATTTGCATGCATCAAATCAGTAAAAATATTGGCTCAAAAATGATCAAATTTTTACATCTAAAACGTTGTTCTATGTATTTA